AGTTTTAACAAAGCCACCTTAGAAAGTATAGCAGAAAGGAGTTGTATTAAGGTACTCTATTCATTTAAAGGTGTGAAGTATTTTATTGCTTGGGTGAAGGACATGGGGCTTTCTGGTAAAGATGATGTTAAAATTGACCATTAAGACTGGGTAGAGATATGGGTAAGTGCATGCTTGCTCAGTATTTAGCATGACTTAGTCGTTGACCAAAATATATAAAAGAGGAAAATGACCTGTTTTGATGCAGTGGGCCATAGTTCTAGTTTTCTATTTGCTCTCAAAATTATTTTTCTTTTGAAGATGAAATATTTTATGGCTTCAGTTTGCTTTCTGGAAGGGTAACATGTGGTCAGGTGGTGACAGGCATCATAATGCTCCTTTGTGAAATAAAAGAACACAACCTTCCTCATGTCTCTAGGGGCTGTGTCTTTTGTGATCCACTTAGGTTAGTCCCCATTGAACTTCTGGTTAGATACAAAGATTATGAGGACCACTATGTTATTTAAAATAATAGATTTACTGCAGAATTATTATTATTAAACCAAAGTTGGCTTTTTTGTTTAGATGAAACCATATAAAAGCAACATTCTGAGTAAATTATATAGCGTCCACTTGATGAAATAATGAGCCTAAGTTTAGGGGATGAAAGCAATGATCTAATGCAATATTTAGAATGAGTGTTTAGTATGTAGTTATTAACCTAAAAGTCACATCCTGCATTCTTTTAATTTGTGAAAAATTTGTCACTAATTGCCTAAGAAACCTCTGATTTTTCATACAAATCACCTCATAGCTGTTGACTTTCTCCCCCTTCTCCTGCCTTAAAATATAGCCCTATAAACAGTAGATTACTCTCAGATTTGTATGCCCTCTCTAAATAGTGAACAGCTAAGTTTAGCCCCATTGCTATCATTCCAAAAATAGAACTTTCTCCATCCAACTTTGTCTTTGAGAAGCTACCAACAAGTCATAGTTTTATTTGAATGACAACTGGTTTAAAATCTAATTTAACCTTTCTATTCATTGAGAACCTGCTAATTTTGAAATGTTTTGGAGCTTAGTTACTGGTTTGTGGAGGAAATGGGTATTATCTTTCATTTAGAAGCAGTTTGAGCGATAAGCTCTGCTCTTTAATTCAGACTCATTTTAAATGAGGCAAGGTCAGGCAAACAGAAGTCAAAAATTGAAAGGGCTGGGCAGTTTGAGATATGTGAGTTTCAGGCCAACCTAGTCTACACAGAGTTCTAAGACGCCCTGAGCTATGTAGAAAGACCCTATCTCAGAACACACACACACACATGCATGTGTACACACACACTGGAAAGTGAAAAATAAGACAGTTAAGAAATAAGGTAGCCAGGTTGATATCCTGCCTTGAGTCTAGACCTATCTCAGTCTACAATTTACAGATTTGCTTGCGATCATCTACCCAGTCTCCTGCTTTACACGTCTTTGCTGATGCTAGTGTAGCCAACAGCAAACATCCCTAACTTTGAAGTGAAAACATAGAAAACATAGATATAATGAACCTGTAATGATTAATTTCCTATAATAGTTACCTTTATGGATTTGAATTTTTGGCCTCTGTATTGTCAGAGTGTCTTAGAGCATGACTTTCACTGGGATTTCTTTGAAAAAAAATTTTTAAAAAGGACCTCAAAAGAACTATATGAAAGAAGTATTTGTCTTACAGAGTTCTGACTTCAGAAAATGTCCCAAAATTCAGGAAGGGGCATCATGAGAAAATGTCTACTGTTGCACTACTGTTGCACATCTTCTGTCTTATCATGTGACAGCTACAAGGAATAGTGTTGTTAGAAGTGCAGATGTTCACTCAGGATGATCTTTTCTAGATCCCACCATTTGCCTGCAAATATCATGATTCCTTTGTTTTAATTGCTGAGCAGTATTCCATTGTGTAAATGTACCACAATTTCTGTATCCATTCCTCAACTGAGGTACATCTGGGTTGTTTCCAGGTTCTGGCTATTACGAATAAAGCTGCTACAAACATGGTTGAACAAATGTCCTTATTGTGTACCTGAGCCTCTTTTGGGTATATGCCTAGGAGTGCTATAGCTGGATCTTGCGGTAGCACTATTCCTAGTTGTCTGAGAAAGCGCCAGATTGATTTCCAGAGTGATTGTACAAGTTTACATTCCCACCAGCAGTGGAGAAGGGTTCCCCTTTCTCCACAACCTCTCCAGCATGTGTTGTCACTTGAGTTTTTTATCTTAGCCATTCTGATGGGTGTAAGGTGAAATCTCAGGGTTATTTTGATTTGCATTTCCCTGATGAGTAAGGATGTTGAACATTTTTTAAGCGTTTCTCTGCCATTTGATATTCCTCCATTGAGAAATCTCCGTTTAGCTCTGTATCCCATTTTTTAATTGGATTACTTGATTTGTTGCTGTTTAACTTCTGAGTGAGCTATCCCAGAAGCAGAAAGACACACATGGTATATACTCACTTATAAGTGGATTTTAGACATATAATATAGGATAATCATACTAAAATCTGTACATCTAAAGAAGCTAAGCAAGAAGGAAAACCCTGGGTAAGGTGCTCAATCTTCATTCAGAAAGGCAAATGGGATAGATATCGGAAGAAGATGAAAATAAGGAACAAGACAGGAGCCTACCACAGAGGGCCTCTGAAAGACTCTACCCAGTAGGGTATTAGAGTAGATGCTGAGACTCATAGCCAAACTCTGGGCAGAGTGCAGGGAATCTTATGAAAGAAGGGGGAGATAGAAAGACCTGGAAGGATCTGGAGCTCCATAAGGAGAACAACAAAACCAAAAGAGTCTGGGCCTTGGGGTCGTTTCTGAGACTGATACTCCAACCAAGGATCATTCATGGAGGTAACCTAGAACCCCTGCACAGATGTAGCCCGTGGCAGCTTAGTCTCCAAATGGGCTCCCTAGTAAGGGGAGCAGGGGCTGTCTCTGACATGACTGATGAGATCTGATAGGCTAGGGTCAGATGGAAGGGGAGAAGGCTCTCTACTATCAGTGGACTGGGAAAGGAACATGGGAGGAGGAGGAGGAGGAGGAGAGGGAGGGAGGGTGGGCTGGATTAGGAGGGGATGAGAGTGGGGCTAAAGATGGGATGCAAAGTGAATAAATTTTAATAAAAAATTTTATTAAAAAAAGTACAGATGTTGATTGCAAATTTTGAGGTCATTTACTATTTTACAAATTGTGTTCTATGTGTATCCTGTCTGTGGTCACAACATAGGCTGCATCCATAGGACATGAGATATTAACTTCCTATGTATTAGGCTTTCAGATATTTTCATTTGATTTTGAAATTCTTTATAACTCACAAGTTAAACAAAAATGATCATAACTTTATAGAGAAAGTAGTTGAGGGTCAAAGGAGTTAAACAAGATGCCAACAGTCATGTACCTACCTGGGTCTTGGCCAAACTTAGAAACCATGAATCTGGACTTCCCTTCCAGGGCATTTTTTACTACAAAATGTTATTTTGATTTTGCATTTTGAAAGACACAGAAGTGATCTGTGAAATGATGATTAGCACCAGGCGGCCCTGGAGGGCTTCAGGGTTCAAATGCCCGAGACCAGATGGAAGTCCAGAAGTGGATGACTCAGAATTTATTAGTTCTGCCACCTGGGTAGTACAGCCAAACCAGCTGCCACAAGGCAGTTCCAATTTAGCAAAGCAGTAAATGAACAAAAAATTGAGAGTCAGTCTCCATAATAAAGGAAAATGGCTGATACAGCAGCAAGATTCTCTCAGTGTGATTCTTATGGATACCTTGTGTTAAGGTACAGTTCACCATGCTAGACACAGGCAGGAATCAGTTATAGAAACTTGCCCTGAAAAATCAACACCTGAGTTGTTCCAGAAGTGACTAGCAGTTTGGGATGTGCTTGAGTTACAGGCTGGGTAGGTCCCCAGTCACATCTGAAGATCTGGAAAAGGAAAATTAAGCCAGTGCTGTATATCAAAGCTATGGTATGAAGTCAGAGTTTTTTATTTCATTGTAAATTATGAAATACCACGTATCACCTTTTCATAGTCCTGATCTTTGGAGGCCTAAGTATCCAAGGATCCTAAGATTCCTATGGATGGTCATAGAAATCTTGTCTTTATCCTTATTATTTCTTTATGTGGACCTGAAAGTTTATAGCTTGTGTCTCTAACTAGAGTACAGAGCAGGATGAGGCAGGAGAATTGCTGTAAGCTTAAAGCTAGCCTGGACTATAAAGTTTGTTCCAGCATAGACTGGGTTATAGACTGAGGTTCTATTTCAAGTCTCACAACAACCAACAAACCAATGAAAATCAAAATAAGAAGTTTCTAAAGGTCTATCCGTAGAACTAGGCTTCAGATGCCCCTTAAACAGATGTATGGTACTCAAAAAATGAACCTAGTAATGGGGGTATTGGTCAGATCAAGTTGAGAGAGATAAAGTACTCTTTGCTTAAATGTGGAAGGTTTGTTAATGAATTTCAAGAGACAATCTTGTTTTTTTTTATGCCAAAAAATGCCTGGGCATTTTTCAAAACTGAACTGATTTACTAAAAGCTTGGCATAATTTCTCTTTGTATATTGAAAAGCTTAGAAGACTGTAGCTCCTTGCTTTGGTTCACTGGCCTTGGTGATGAGGCAGGCTTTTTGGTGTCATGATGAAAAGACTAAGAGCATAGCCAGAGAAGGTGCTGACTTACTCTGTTGCTGCTTCTTTCCCCTTAAAGGCTAGATCAAGGTGCAACTGGCTTGCTTGACATCTGCCTTTAGATGGCCTTTTCAGGAGATAAATTTTCATGTGTTTATATTTTTAAACTGATCATCACTTAATCATGCAATAATGTAATGCTGTTCTCTGTTTATGTGAAGAGAATACAGACATGTATATATTGTCACTGAATTGGGGTCTTTTTTCCCTCTATGATGACATGAAGTAAAGTGGATTTCTATCATAACATTTTGTTTATAATTACAGGTAATTTCTTCCTGTTTTATTCTGGCAGGTGGCATGTTTGACCCACGTAGCTGCTAATTATCTTATTGGCCAAAAGGAAGCAAAGCGCTGGGGCACAGCTCATGGCAGTATTGTTCCTTATCAGGTACACGTTAGCCTTCTGTTACTATAATCTACTGATCTGTACAATATTATTTGGGGAATTAAAAAAAAATCCTCCAAGGTTGTTTTATAATGTGTTTCTGACTTGTTAACAACAAGGTTCTATTGTTCTCTTTAATTTTTTTTTGTGTCATATTTCTTCACCAAAAGATCTGTAACAGGACACTTAAGTGGATCAAGGGGCCTTACAGAAAGGGAGTTATGTTGGGGTTCCTACTACAATGGTTTCTCTCTTTCTCTCCTTTCATCCAAAAGTTTCTGTTAAGCTGTTGACTATAGCTACTTTATAAAGCATGGTGTATTATCATGCTAGCTATAAAATAAATGTTAGCTTCTCCATCTGACAGTATTCTCACGGGGTTAGAGTAAAGTGAAAATCTGTGTGTGATGGATCTTTATCCTTGGAGTAAAACAGTTTATTTAAGAGCTGCTATTCCTTATTAAGTGTGTAAACTTATGCTCAGAAACTTTGGACGTTGGCTAGTGCAAATGAATATGTGAAGAAACGGTGATACTTCAAAGACCAAAAACTCTGCTACTTCTTCCAAGCCACTAGGCTTAGCTTAGCCTAGTTGCTTTTTTTTTTTTTTTTTGTATTTCCCTATATATTTGCCAAACTTTTCATACTACATTATGAGTTTAAGAGTAGTCGGGTCTTTCTCTTCATTTATCTCATTTCCAGTAGAAAGGCAGGCAATGTTCCCTGGAAGTATCTGCTGAATAAAGGAATGGATTTTATTCTAGTTATTTCAATATCTGTATCTTGACAGGGAACATAAAACTCAAAAAATTTTTTCATTGGCTAGGAAATGTGTCAGCACTTCCAGTCATCATTTCAATGTTAAGAGATTAATTCCTTGGGCAGGTCCAGCTTCTTTTCTTCTTCTTTTTAAAGCTAGATTTGAGAAAAGCATAATTTACTGTGAGCCCAGAATGCTTTCCTCTTGTTCTGTTTATGGCCATTTTCTACTTGAGACTTTGCTCCAATTTTATAGTATTGCTGCTTTTCTCAAGTGGAGTTACCTTCTGGGATAATTACAAGTTGGAGAATTACTTCAGTGTTTCCTTAATTTTTTTTTTTTCCATCAGTATATTCGTGGCCACTTGAGGGACGTTACATTCCCTAACTTCCCTTCCTTCCTTCCTTCCTTCCTTCCTTCCTTCCTTCTTTCTTTTCTTTCTTTCTCTCTTTCTTTCTTTCTTTCTCTCTCTTTCTTTCTTTCTTTCTTTCTTTCTTTCTTTCTTTCTTTCTTTCTTTCTTTCTTTCTTTCTTTCTCTCTTTCTTTCTTCTCTCTGTGGCTGGCTCTAGACTTCTAGTTAGACCTTCCTACCTTGATTCATAAAATTGTTGTATTTTGAACTGGATAATCAGATTCAGCATTATTATTTTCCAAATAAAGAAAAAAATCACAGCTAGCTTGAATGGAGAGTTCCCAACAGGTCCTTTTTAGCTCTGTGTTTAGACATTTTTAGTTCCTTCTGCCAATGGCAGGTGTGTGTTGTGGTTTCAGTTTCCTTCAATTCTATCATTTTTTATTCTCATTCAATTTCCTCCTAATTCAGGGGTATGGTTCATAATTATGATTCATGATGCAAATTATTCTCAAGAGGATGTTAGCAAAGGACAATGTTAGGATCTATGTGAATTCATCTCAAATAATTGAAATTCAGGCTTCCATCTTTGATGTATATGAAGGAAGGAACATTTTTGAGTTGGCAAGATTTGTAGGATAATTCTAAGTCATGTTACAAAATCTAAAGGTTTATTTTTTGTTCATTCTTTATTTTTGGTAAAAATAAAATATCTATTTTAAAACCTTGTTTTAGATCCTAACAATCATTCCTGGGCATTCATACCTAGAATTATGACATCCCAATAAACTGTTTAATTATTTTGCTGTGAGGGACAAAGGGATTCAGAGGTTTTGACCTTTGTTTTAGATGGTTAAGTATATAAAAGACTTGTGTGACAGTGTATTTTCTTCAAGAATCAAGATGTACTTCATGGTTGAGTCACCTCAGCCATATTAAATGGGTACTGTGCCTACGTGATCATAGTTGAGTATAAGAAATGAGTTCTCTGGTCTTTCCTCAGGAGAGTGGAATCAGCCTGCTTCTTCTTTCTAGAGAACTGGTTCAGCACAATAATTAAAAAAAAAGATTAAATGCAAATTTAACTTGAATGAAACTAATATAATGAGTCCTAGCAATGCTTCAAGATTCTTATCTGTTTGAAATTTTTAAATAGATCTGAGGAATATTTTCATGAGTGAAATCCATGATAATTATTAATCAGTTCCCTATGATAATTACAGTTTTGCTTCTAATTTGCTTTGTATTGTTTGAGTTTATAGCCCAGTGTCTATAATAAAGATCCTGATAGCTTTGGGAGTTTGTTAAGGTTCTCACCTTGATTTCTTCAGTTGTTGAATTCCATTTGGATAGTCATAAACCTTTACTACATTGAATGTATATTTCTGAGAAAAAGTGATCCCTCATTATGTGTTATTTTATAAACATGTAATTTTTAACTTCTCACATCAGTTATTCATTGCTGCACTTTTCGTCTTAATTCTTTGGCTGCTAACTTATATTTTATGTATTGTTGAGACAGGATTTTGCTATGTAGCCCAGTTAGACCTTGAACTTTAGACATTCTTTTTAAATTTTTTATTTTTTATATTAATTACAGTTTATTCACTTTGTATCCCAGCTGTAGCCCCCTCCCTCATTCCCTCCCAATCCCTCCCTCCTTCCCTCATCTCCTCCCATGCCCCTCTCCAAGTCCACTGATAGGGGAGGTCCTCCTCCCCTTCCATCTGACTTTAGCCTATCAGGTCTCATCAGGAATGGCTCCATTATCTTCCTCTATGGCCTGGTAAGGCTGCTCCTCCATCAGGGGGAGGTGATCAAAGAGCCCACCACTGAATTCATGTCAGAGACAATCCCTGTTCCCCTTAATACGGAACCCACTTGGAGACTGAGCTGCCATGGGCTACATTTCTGCAGGGGTTCTAGGTTTTCTCCATGCATGGTCCTTTGTTGGATTATCAGTCTCATAGCCAAACTTTGGGCAGAGTGCAGGGAATCTTATGAAAGAAAGGGGAGATAGAAAGACCTGGAGGGGACAGGAGCTCCACAAGGAGAGCAACAGAACCAAGAAATCTGGGCTCAGGGGTCTTTTCTGAGACTGATACTCCAACTTTAGACATTCTTACCTTAGCCTTCTGCATAGTAGGATTCAGGTAGTTGCCACCATTTCAATTTGCTGGCATTTTTTAAAACTTCACAAGTTAAATAAAAATATAAATAATTTAAATAGATCTTTTGCTGTTTCTGTTTAAAATTGAACTCATTAAATTTAAAAATGAACTTATTAAACTTACAGGTAAATGAATAGAACTAGAAATAACCTAGACTTATATAACCTAGACTCAAAAACTCAAACATTGTGACTTTTTTCTTGTATGTGGGAGTTAGCGTTTAAGCTTTACATATTTATGTTTCTTTTTTCTCTTTAATTTATTTATTTATTCACTTTACATCCTGATTGCAGCCCTGTCCCTCCTCTCCTCCCAGTCCTGCCCTCCCATCCTCTTCCCCTATTCCACCCTCCCCTTTTTTCTGAGAGAAGGGAGCCAACCCCCCCCCCCCCGCACTTCATGTCACATCAGGATTTAAATGCACCTCCACTGAGGCCAGACTAGGCTACCCAGCCAGGGGAGAATGATCCAACAGCAGGCAAGAGAATCCATATCAGGGACAACCCCCACTCCAGTTGCTAAGGCACCCACATGAAGACCAAGTTGCCTATCAGTTCCATAAGTGTGTTTTATTTATTTACTTAACCCATAGAAGTTAAGTAACTAGTAAGAGATCATTGGGGAGGAAGGTATATTAAAGGAAGGGGAAACAGAATAGGTTATGTTGGGAAAGGGGTGTAGAACAGGAAAGATTAAGTGGAGTGGGGGATGGGAGAGCAGGATAAAGGAAGGAATACTGGGAAGAATACCTAATAATAAAGGACTTTTGAATAAGCCATTTGTAACCTAATACTATAGAAGCTTCCTAACACACACACACACACACACACACACACACGGAGTATGTTTAGAGTTACCTTATACAGGAGAGCAATACCTCAAGTAGACAACGTATGTTCCCAAACAAAACCCATATGGATTACATCTTTTTGAATGGTTGGCTCAGTAGAGTCATATAGATCCCCCAGAACTTGACATGGTTTTGCCATTGATATTGTTTATCATCTACAATTTAACTTTAAGATCCTATTACAGAAGATACTACATATTTGAGTTAAAGAACACGGAGACATGTAATTGGTACCCAACGGGAAGCTTCAAACCTACTATCTAACATTCAAGCACCTGGGAGGAAGTATAAATGCTACCCGAAGAGAAAAGTAAACTTCAGTATCACCCAGCTCTGACTCCTGTGAGTCATAGTAATGTCATGCCTGACACATGCTATGTGTCACAATAGTGGCACAAATGTTATGGGAATAACCAACCAAATTTTGTTTAGATGTAAGTACTGCTCCATGAGATGGAACCCATACTTCGCATTGTCAATAAGGCCAAGAACCTGTGACTAGATAGGTCATAGGCCCCAGAGGAAAACCTATTACTATTATTCTATATGGACATGGCAATAAAACAATTCTTGAAATGTTATTGCTATGTTTGCAGGTCAGTACGTTACTCAACTCTTATCAGAGAAACTTCTTGAAGTGGATGGTAGTTAACACAGAAACCTACAACTGGTCAGTGTGCAGAGAATAAGAGGCACCAGCATGTTTAGCCCTATAGGAATATCTATGTTTAGCTCCAAAAAGGGTTAGAAGATTTTAAGAGCCAGAAGTGGTAAATGACTTCAAGGAAACAGCGTTTTCCGGACATTAAAAGGCAGATGCTCACATGAACCCATAATGATTATGACAACATGCACAAGGCCTATAAGCCA